TGGCAAATGCATCTGTGCTCTCCAAGAAAAGTCAGACAAAGCAGCAGTAGTTATCACTACTGCTGGGCCCTTGAAAACAGAAACTTTCAGAGTTTGTGGGGGGAGCGTATAGCCCAAGTGGTAAGGCACGTGCTTAGCATGCACAAGAGCCTGGGTTCAATCCCCAGTATCACCTCCAAACATAAATAAATAAATAAACAAACAAACAAACAAACCTAATTACTTCCCCCCTGAAAAAAATTAACTAAAATAAATAAATAAATGTTACCTAAAAAATGTAAAGAAAGAAAAAAAATTTTTAAGGGAAAGAAAATAGAAAGTTTCTGGTCTATGTGGAAATCTAGCCTGAGAGAACAGAATTGGGGCTAGTTAAGGGGAAAGGTCAGTTGGGATTCTAGAAGATTCTTAAGCATAATAGTAATACTTCCAGGGTCATTTTGTAACTCACGGTGACTGCTTAAAAGGACGTTCAGGTAGAAGTCCTGTCACCGTGTCTGACAGATGGGTGGGGAGTACATACAGCGAGGTGGAAACTGCCTGAGTCCTTGGGCGGTGTGGGAATATCTCCTCCTCTGAGCCTTGTCAGTGTAACTGACCTGGAAACCCATGTCTTTCAGGGTGAAAACAAACCTGATCGGCTCAGGCTCCGGTGTCGGATATTTGTGGGGAGAGAGGTTGGCTAAGTGAGCAAGTGTGACTGGGGTAATGTGGAAACGTGCTCTAAAACCAGGGCAAGAAAGATACTCTGGGTTCCTCTGACCCTACTCAACCTTCCCCTGGTGCTGCTTCAGCCTCTCCCCACCCTCCATCATGTCACTGCCCTCTATAATTTATTTACCTGACAAGCATTTACTGGAAGAACTTACCAACTGTGTGCCTCGTCCTGAGCTATCCCTCTGGAGGGACCACGGTCGCCCCTGGACACCAGGATGAGACAGACCAGGATGAGAGTCACCCCTCTTGTCTCAGGCTCAAGAGGAGCTGCAGTTTAATTCCAATTACTTGAATAAGAGTTTCCTAAAACAAACAAACAAACAAACAAACAAACCGACAAAAAATTCTCTACTTAAGTAGAACAGTAAAATACTTCATTGCTGTGCTAAAATATTCTCGCAAGTTGGAAAACTCAAAACAAGAAGATAGTTGTGTCTGTTGGCGCAGCTCTAGTGCCCGATGGAAGCGGGAAACGTGCATGCAGATCTGAACGTACCTTTGACTATCACGTTTAGGAAAAGGTCCTGTGGGTATAAAATGGGTACATGATCAGAGCCCCCCAGTCACAACGGTCATCGCTGTGGTGGTGTCGGTGTGTAGGGCTGCACGTCTCCAGTATGTTCTTCGTGTTTACTCTCCACCCTGCCCTGTGCTAGACACTGTGGGGGTTAACAAGATATGCGATGTAATTTCTGTCCTCACGGTATTTGTGACCAAGCTGGTGTGAAGAGAACTGACAGGATGGGGTGTGTAATCTCCACGCTTAATATAACTTGGAGTGTAGGAGACCTACTATGTAATAATAAAAAGAGCCGCTTACCAGGAAGATGTAATAATTCTGAGGTTGTTAATGCACCTACGAGCATAACGCTGAATATGTAACCCGAAAGGTAACAGAATTGAAAGAGGAAATTGATGAATACACGACTACAGTGGGTGGTCTCAACATACTGCTCTTATTAGCAGGTGAAACATTGGTCAAATTACTGAGGATTTGACAAGGATTTACCACTGAATGAACTTGGTGAGCACTTATTAAATTCTGCATGAACCATTCGAGAATATGCAATCTTTTTTAAAAATGTTTTTTGAAGAGTGATTTATTTATTTAGTTTATTATTATTATTATCATTATTATCATTATTTTTTTTTGGTGCAGGAGGGCGAGGTAATTAGTTTTATTTATTAATGTATTTTTAGTGGAGGTACTGGGGATTGAACCTAGGACCTCATGCGTGCTAAGCATGTGCTCTACCACTGGAGCTGTACTCTCCCCCGGGAGAATATGCAATCTTTTTGAACACCCATGGAACATTTATGAAAGTGTTACTGAACCAGGTCCACTCTGCCTGACTCACAGCAAAGTCTAAACGCTGAGATGTGAGGTTTGCAGCAGGAGAGCGTTTATTCATTTATTCGCAAGGCAGCCAGTCATGAAGATGGGAGAACAAATCTCCAATCCACTTCCGGAAGGCCAGGGGCTCGGGGTATTATGGGCTAAAAAAATAAAGCCTGAGAAAGGTGTTTGGAAAGAGGTGTGATAAACGCCGTTCTGCACAGCCAGTAACTAAGCTTCTCAGCGCCGTTCAAAAGGTCAGGGAGCAGACACTCACGCGTGCCCAGCTGAAGGGTCTGAAGGCTCGGTGGTCCAGTCTTAACCAGGTCAGCTGAAACTGCACTCAGCTGACTCCGGTTTTTGGAAGACGGCTCAGGCAAGCATATGATTATTTCGGCTTATTGCCACTTGGAGGGCACGTGATTCTTCTGTAACAATTAAAATGACTTTGATTAGTGAAGGCAGATTACAGGTGAAATGGATTTGTTACCAGCCAAACTTGGGTCCGCTTGCCAGGGCACAGTAAAGGCAATCCACCAACATCGGGTTGTGGTGAAGGAAAGTGCCAGTGTTTATTGCGGGCCGCCAGGCTGGGAGTCCAGGCAGCTAGTGCTCAGAAAAAGCCTGAACTCCCTGATGGGTTCCAGCAAAGCATTTTTAAAGGCTAGGTGGGTGTGGGGGCAGTTCCCAGGGTATCAAGATGGTGCACATTTCTCTGATTGATTGATGTCAAGGGAACAAGGCAGTCAACAGTATCAACCCCCAGGTGCCAGAAGGTCGCCCACGTGCTCTCAATCATCAAGTGGTTAATGTCTTCCCTTTGGTGATGGTTTTAAGCATCTGAAACACTCAGGAAATATACCTGAGTTACTGTTATCTGGGTCCTTCAGCGAGGAGCTGCAGCAGAGGATACGGGGAGGGGTCTGCCCTGGGAAGGCCCTACGGGGTCCTGCTGGGTTACACTTTCAGTCAGCTGTGGCTGGCTCTTCAGTTCCTTCCTGAGTGCAGTCAAGGACCTTCACTCGATAGGGCGCGTCCCAGGGACTCGCCCAAGCTCTGGGGCATAGCTGTCCTCTTGTGCCCCATTTTCCTCTGTCCCCTTCACTGGCAGTGTCCTGGGTCCTGGTGCCGAGCAGGGGGTGGGGACAGGAATGAGACTTCTGGCATTTTGGCAGAGTCCGTGTCTGGATCATTGGTCATCTGGAATCTGGGGCTTTGGAATTCTCGGGGCCTGCGGCATGTGAGTACTGATGCCAGTATGAGTCTGTGATCTGACAATGGTAAAGGACTGCTCAGACGCTCCACAGCTGGGGTCAGTTCCCAGTTTAAGAACACGGTTGTGACATACCAGAACGAGGTGCTCTGGAAGGCAGGAGTTACCCGGCAGGAGCCTGTAGCTCGCCCTCCCCGCACCCTATTCCCTTCCCTGTTTGTGACGACATAGACTTGCCATGACACAGTCCTCTGTGCCTGCCAAGGCACGTTTACATCCGCATCTGGCTCAGCCTGGCCGTGCCTAGGAGAGGCTGTTGTCCCCGCCCTGCAGCAAGGTGCCTGCCACCTGGGAGTTGGGCCACTGGAGCCAATTCTTGCAGTGGATGCGTGTATGACCCCTCTCCTCTGGGGCGTCACATAGCACCCACACAGCCCTCCTTTCCAAATGGTGTGCTTTTGAATATTTCCTTTCCTGTTCCCCACTCCTTCCTGCTTTGCAACATATTTGAAACTATGGTATATTATTCCTGATTTTCTGAATCGACCTTGTACCTTCAAAACCTCACACATGTGCTTTGGGGGTTGTCTGTTTTTCTCCTCTCAGTTAAAGAGGATGAAAAGCGATTTTATTTTGCGAAATGTCTAATGGCAAGCCCTGAAAAACCGTGCTTGGGAAGGGTTGATTGAGTGAACAGCTCCTGTATGCAACTGTGTGAAGAAGCCTTAGCTAGGAGTGGGGCCATGTGCTTGCCCCACTCCTGGCCTGGGGAATCTTTGGAGAGTTTGACGATTGAATGTTGGATACAGTATAATCGCAAAGTTCAAAGCATTGTATGTATAGTACATGCTACCACCGTGATATGCAGGTGAATCTCTAAAATATTATGCTGAGAGAAAGAAGCCAGGCATCAAAGAGTAAGGACTGCATATTCTGGTCATCTGAAACTTTAGAAAAGACAAATCTAGACTGTGTGGCAGAAGCAGGTCATGGGGGAGGAGGAGGGGGAGGAGGAGTGACTGGGAAGGGGCAGGGGCATTTGGGGGAAAAGGAAATATTTATCATGGTGGTAGTTACATGAGTGTATACATTTGTCAAAATACCTAGACCTGTCCACTTTAAATGGATGCATGTAAATTGATATTTCAACCAGCTGATTGAGAAATGTATAACGAGAGAAGAAAACTCCGCAAACCCTTGCACAGTTCTCTGCTTTCCTTCCTGCTCTCAAAGCTAGTTGAGCATTTATAACTTCTCAAAATATGTTTGCAATTTCAATAATTCTTTTTTTTTGACTGCAGCAGACCTAACTCAGAAAACACTTCTAAGTGTAAGAGCTTTGACTTTCAGCCAGTTGGTTCCATAAGAACAAACAGAACACAAAGCAAACCTATATTCATTTGTTCTCTCTTGCTGAAAACATTAGGTAGAGATTGCTTCTCGCCATGACTCACGCAGCATTTTATCCTTACTTGCACTGCACACGCTCGTTCTGATTGTTGGCAGGGTGGCTGTAACTGTGCTATATTTTCTCCCTAGTATGTGGGTTTGGCTTCATCATTTGTTTTCTGCGTTATTAAAGGTAGCTCTGCCTGTTTACCTCTGTTTCGCAGGGGCACATGGGGAGCTAGGGAGACACTTCTGAACCTTCCTGCTTCTGACAAAGGTGGGTGTGGTGTACACGTGTGCAGATGTCCTCAGGCCTCGCCTCTGACTCCTCTCTTGTTGCTCTTCCAGACTCCAGAGCCAAGTGCACACCTGCCGGGTGAGGGTGAGACTGAAGATAAGCAGCTCCCCCCTTCTCCTGCGGAAGCAGAGGCTCAGGGATGGAGCCAGGAAACAGACCACGATGATTTTGAGACCCTGTCCCACCAGAGTGAAAGTCACTCAGACACAAAAACTGACCCCTTTGAAAGTGCCTCCGACACAGAGTCCCTGCCTGACCTCACAGGGGGAGTCAGCCTCCCTCCGGATGGCACCTCCGGGGACAGAGAAGGGCTCGAGGGATGCTCTGACATCTTGGTAACCAGACCCCCTCCGGCGCCGCATTCAGCTAGTGGCTCAGAGCTTAATGCAGAGGAGGAACTAGATCTGTGCCTCGACTTCAAGGAAGAGTCTTATGAAAGTGGGTTCCGAGCCTTCGCTGCAGTTGGTGGAGAAGTGAGGGCCGCACACCTGCGGGAGGGCGTGGCCGGCCCCGAGCAACAGTCCCCGCTGGCAGGGGCCGCTCACCACGCGGAGGGCTGCGTGCAGCTGGACACAGGTTGCCAGCCCCTCCCAGCAAAGGTGGTGACTGTACAAGACCTCAGGGGTTTCTCTGCTTTTTCTCTACGGAAGCCCAGGTCTGAGAGTTGTCTGGGCATCCTGGGGGTCTGGCCCTTCCTCCTCCGGTGCAGTGAACACGGCCGGAGCTGGCCGCACATACACTACAGGGCCGGGGGACCAGGGCTGCGTTTCAGCGACCCGCTGGACAGCACTGCCCCTCAGGGGGCCAGGACAAGGAAGGGGAGTACCCGAGGCCCCACGGTGGACGCAGGCTTACCCTGCTCCCAACCCTGCTTTGACGCCCCCTGCCAGCATCCATCCAGCATCCTGCCAGAAGCATCTTGCCTCCTACATGCCAAGCTTCGCCATAGCGCCCCAGGAAACATTGGTGGGACATCCCCACCGCACCGCTGTCAGCCCACGAGGACACTGAACAGGGCCCATTCCATAGCAGAGTTTCCCTTGAGATACTGTGAGGATGCTTTAGGGCAGAACTCGATGACGTCTGGGACCCATTTGAAGGAAGGGACAGAAGCAGAACCGGCTCCGAGAACGCAAAACTCTCTTCGCCATATTCCCACCCAGCTATCTCACTCGCTTCCTGCTCTGGGCAAACCCAGTGCTCTTAGCTCGAAAGGGGCCTCCCAGGACACGCCCTCTGAAGCTCCCCGGCTGGAAAACCAGTCAGGACAGGATTCTAGGTCCGGCCCCGTCTGTTCATGCCCTCCTGCGGAGCTGGTGAGCCTCAGCGCATTGGGAGTGCCAGTGCCAGCAGGGTGCGAGTCGGAACACGGCCCATTTGAAAGCAGACCAGAGGAACCCCCAGGCGCTGGCCTGGTACCAAATGCTGACGACGTGAGTGATAAACAGAAGCACCTTCAGGACATTTCTGTTGAAGCAGGAAACCAAACCGGTAATTACACATCAAAGTTTGTCCTCAGTGAGAAAAGAAAGCCACCTGCTAGGGCCAAGTTCCCACATCATCCCAGCAATAGCGGGTCACAGGTGTGGAACAGAGACTGGAGGGTTTGCTCTGGAGTGAGCGGTTGTTCAGACGCGCCAGAGACCATCCCGAAATTAAGCGCAACAGACTCTTCAAAGGAAGCAGAAGTGATGGTTCCAGACCCCAACTTCACGAAAAATGCCTTGCAGAGTTTTTCCGGAATAACAGCAGCCACCCTGGCTCACTGCAGCTGCGGGGATGAGGAGTGTGCCCAGGGGCACGAGGGTGGCTCCACGCCCTTTGCAGAGGGTCTCCAGCTAAAGCCCGAGGCAGACACGGCTTCTAAGGGCGGGGGCGCGCTCATCATTATCGCTGTGGAACAGAAAGGGCTGCAGGCCACCAGTGGGGAGGTGGGGCCTCTTCCAGACACACAGTCCTGTGAGTTTCTGGAGGAAAGACCAGGATCTCCTCGCAGTGCTGGAGCGTCCCCCTACGAGTCTCCCCGGGCTGGGAAACCGCAAACTGGTGGCAGAGAGTGTGCGCCACCCGCAGCCCGAAGTCTGGGAAGTGACGACGGGGCTCTTCAGCAGGTGGCCCAAGAGCTTGGGATAGTTCTGAAGCCCCAGGCTGCCTCGGAAGAGAGCCTCCCTAGCGGGGAAGAGACGCGTTCCCAGGAGCGCACCGGGGGCGCGCAGAGCACACGCGCTCCTGCGGAAGAGAACCCGCCTGGGGCGAGCCAGAGCGCGGGGACAGGGGCGGCCAGGGAGCAGGCTGCGGGGGCG